ACTTAACAACCTTTATAACAGACACTATAAATTACAGTGATTCGCACACTTTACTTGTGGTGCCTACTGTTTGCTTGACTCAATTATCTCTATCTGCATATCTATCTATCGCTGGCTTATATACTAAAAAAGAGGGCGTCTAGCAAACACTGGGAAATTCGCGAGGTTAACCGATAAGTCATGATCCTTCTCGAAACTCCAGCGAGCATGCTCCCAGAGTCGCGTGACTTCCGCTGTCGTAACAATATATATTGATCCCTAGTTGTCTTTATAGAGTTTAAAGATTTTATATTGTACTTGTACTATATACAGGTGTTATACTGTATACTAAAGACATGCCACCTAAGCAAGTGTCACTGTTTTCATGCTTTAAACAATGAATAATTTTTCATTCTTAACATTTTTTTTGGTCTACTTTGTTGTTTGAACACATTTTTGCATTTTATGTTAATATTTTAGGCTTGTTTTTTAAATACCAAAATAACATTCATTAGAGTATACCCATTCAGTTATTTTATTTATACTATACTGTAGTATATAAACACCAAAAATGTTTTTTCTTAATTTAATAAAATTAATTATCATTATATTATTAAGGGGAGCTATGGAAGGTCAAGAATGAGAGGCAATCATAATCTCGTCTTGTCAGGAATGTTCCCATAAAGGAAGTATTGCAATACCTTTCTCATCTGAGTGGACTTAAGACTTTTTCTGTAAATGTGAGGTCAATGAGTGTTAGCTTATATAGATGATTTTTCAAAAATGATATGTGATAAACTTTAAAATTAAGTTTTGAATGATTACAACACCGTAAACAATATCTTTATAGTTTATTTTACGTGACACATTACATAGGCTCAACTAAAGTATATCATGATTGTGATTTAACAATTTTGAGTAGATAAAAGTTCTTCACATCAAATTTAAAGTTTGTTAGTAGTGGTTGGGAATAGAAGTTAATTTGCCTAGTTTCTCTTTTATTACTATCTTTGAGGGTAAGGGACAGATATCTTCCAGGGATTAATCAAAATAAAATGAGCACGAACACTGATTCTCACTTAGAAACTAGGAACAAAATGAATGTCAAGTATAGTACAGATGATGGACAAGTATTTACAGTAATTTTATGTGTGTATCAGGTTGATATAATTTGTTTCTGTGTGAATTATAATATATTAAACTATGTATTGTAACAGCAGAATCAACTATTTAGTTTGGTTTAGATGGAGAGATTGATTTACAGTAGATTCTAAGTTACCAACAAATATGCCAAAATAATATTCTAATATATGAAACAAGTTTTAGCCAGATATGATCTAATGTATTATGTTCGGAGATTGTAAGATGAAAGAGGGCTTTGGTACGTTCAATCTGAACTGTGTTTTAACAAAAAGTTGAATTTAAATTTTAAAGCAAATAACTGATTCAAATTTTAGCTAGGGTCTTTCCATTCACATATTCAACAAATACAATGTGTTATGAAATGAAATGCATGATAATGATTCAGTCAAAAAATGTTTTTTATTCATTCAAAAACAGTTCAATGCAAATACTAGGACTGGAAAGTCTCACAGACTAATTCAAGTCATTTTACTTACTTTTTCGGCAGACAGCTTTTGGACTGAGATCATCATTTTCATTGTAATAAACTCTAACAACACAGCGTTCACCTTCTTCACAGCTATGTACCTTTAAGAAAACAAATAATCACAATAAATCTAACAGATCCTGATTTGAATTTTCTTGAGGTAACAACAAAGTTAAACTTATTTTGTGTACTATATACTCAACAAATACTGCCATTATAATAATAATAAATGTAAAAAATACACAGATAGAGATATTTGATTATCAAAAGTTTTATCAAAATACCTAAAGTTTCTGCAAAATTAAGCAATAAAATCCTTCTTTCATTTTCTCAGTTGTCTAGATTCTTTCAATTAATTCTCTATTTCTCTATTTTCAATGTGTATTTTGCATCATTTTTTTTGTGATGGTTAGTCACTGTGGTAATTAAATTAAACTCATTTTACACCAGAAAATTCAGAAGTCCACTGACAGACAAATAATTCAGAAATGAAGAGATACAGGAAAAATAGTTGTTGGTAGTATGGAATGAGATGTTGCAAGCCAACCTTGTGACAATATCATTGAAGTAATTCAAGGTCATGTCTTTTGGAAATGTTATTAATACACATCATACAACCAAAATATCAGTGACAAAGACATAGCCAATGATAAATGAAACATTGTAAACCAAAAATTACCAAAATTACTCCCATCCCAGCTCCTCTAGACATCAAAAATAGAGGATTTTTTCCCCCAAATCTTGTTATACCCACAAGAGTGCACCTTTAAGCAAAAAAAAACAAACGTGAATTAATAAAGTGTTTTTTGACAAATTAATACACCTGTCTATCAATGATTTGTTAAAAAAATGGAAAAGCTTAATGAAATGGTTTATTTTATAACATTTTTTTACAATAGGAAAAAAATAAGAGAAAAATGTCAAACAACTGTTTTTGAAGTGATAGAATAGAGAGAAGGCAGCTAGTCAACACTACCCACAACCAACTATTCAGACACTCTTTACCAATGAATAGTGGAATTGGCTGTACATTATAATGCCCCCACAGCTGATAGGATGAATACTTGTAGTGGTCAGTGGAGGGATTTAGACTTTTTCAACAATAAGGTTAGATAAAATAACTTGTACTCTGCGGATAGTTTAAAAAACACTTTTTTATCTTTTTTTTACTTAAACTAAATTTCTGTATAGCCCCATTGAAGATACAATGTCAAAATGTAGATAGAAATAAAAGATATCTAAGAAAGTACTTTTATAAATGATCTGGAAAGAAAAGTTGTTTCTTCTAACTTTATTGTCGAAAACAGATTTCTTTAACTAACAAATACCTAATCCTTTTCAGTAATACCTCAGTATCTTCCTTGCTCATCTTATACTTTCCATATATGTATTTAAAACTCTTTTAAAATTTTCTCCTACTACATAATGCAAAGCAACACTTAACAACTGCAAAACAGTACATGAAAAATTTAACATAAAATACATTCCTGCATAGAAAACATTGCTGTGACACTTTTTGGCATGGTTTTCTTTAGTTTTTTATGTTTGCTGGATTTGTTAAAAATAATATAACCTACTGTCTACAGCCTGCAGTGATAACTACATATAACAATAGTCAAGTACAATCTTCAGCATGAAAGAACACCAGCAACTGAACAGATAAAAATGATTGATAAATTAGGAACAATCACATCTATGTGCATGTACAAAGTAAAAAACACACACACTGTATAAAGAATAATAAACTAAAGTACAATCAACAGAAAAGTGTATGAAGAGTATAAAAAAGCTCACAAAATAAAAAGAACCTTTCAGCCTTATGTTAAGAAAATGTGTCACTATTTCTTAAGCCTTTAATGTAAACGTATATATCAGAACTCATTTGTCCTAAGAATGAGCTTTGGATCTCTTAATTGTATATGATGAATTGAGTTCACTGATCATTAACATATTTAGAAAAGTAATGCTTTAATGAATGAAACCTAGATGCTCACAAAATAACTGTGATCAGGTTTATAAAGACTACATGCAAGTTTCTGTCCAGTTCACATCTAATACAGTGAAAGCATTCACCTATGCCAAGAGTAACACCATGGAAAAATAGAAAATTTATAGGATTATATCCTGAAATAAAAGGCTTTCTCTACTTTTGCAATGAATTACAGACTTTAGTGGACCTCTGAGATACCTGCACTCCTCATGAACAACAATAACACAAATAAATGCACCCCTTTCATGCATGTGGAGTTGTGCTACAGAATATCAAAAAACTAACCATAGCAAAGTTACACTAACCTAGATTCAAGGTGTAAGATCAAATATTTGCATAAACAGATTATTCTTCCTTTGAAAGGTCGAAAAGGTTGAAAGATATTAAAATAACATCCCCTTACATAAGGTATCATATAAGCATTGTGCTACAGCTACTTCAACATTATGTAAAAAGTGGCATAATAATCATTTGAAGAACAGTTTAACATAGTCCTACTATATGGAGAGTATCACCAAAATGTCCAGGTTGCTGCTGGATTACGTGCTGAATGGTTACCAGATGAATGACATCCTTCATACCATATGATAGTAAATGTGTGTTGAGGCTGCATACTACAGGCTCACTTGTGCACAGATGCCATGTGGGCAGACAAAGAGAATAAATCTTGAAAATTAAGTAGCCATATTGGTACTTGTCACATATTAAAAAACATACTGAAAACAGCTACAGATTGTTTGATACCATTTCATAATAATATTAGGATGTTTACCTCAACTGCATTCATTCCTATAACTGTCATAGTTGTGTGGGGTTTTTGATCATTTTTATTTTAAAACTTTTCGTTTGCAGTTGATATTTATGAGGTATGATGAATGTTAATAAAAGTTCCAAAGTTAAAGTTGACTTTAAATGAACTCAATGATATTGTCACAACACCTCATTCCATACTATTAACAATTCTTTTCCTGTATCTTTCCATTTTGGAAATGGACTTCTGAGTAACCCAATATACTATATAATTATTAAATACTACCATTAATTCATTTCCACTCAAACACTTTTTTACTTTAATTTGTTTAGAGTAAACAGTATTCACATACTTTACTGTAAAATAATTTTCTTGTAATGCAGTGAATGATCTTTAACAACATTTCACTTTTTTTCAGTAACACTTAGAATTCTAATATATCCATTTATTAATTCAGAAAAGTTAAAAATGACTTAATGGTGGATGCATACGACAAAAAAATTCCCTCACCAGAGTACTGGATAGTCTAGGACAAATACATAAAACAAGGAACAGTAAGCAGGCAAAACATGTTTCAGATATTCTAAACAAATAAAACAATATACTAAAAAGAAAAGATAATACTGAAAAAGGGAAAAGCTAAACAGACAAGTTAAAAAAAAAAGGAAAAGAAGAAAAATGATCCTAGTTTTTGGAGAAGCTTGGTCTTCCTCTGCAATAGAGATTTAGTGTTTTTTGTTTTGTTCTACTCACACCAGCTTTAGTTTAGAACTATTGAATTGCATTCACCCACTGTTAGCTTTATCTTAAACTCAAATCATTATTTTAAATGAATTACTGTGAGATAAAAAATGTTACCTGGCAAGGGTTGAAGCACCGACAGAAGGTGCAGCCTTGTTGATCATGATATTCATCTATTCCATATGGACACTGGAGCTGACCACAGTTTGTGGTAGGACAGCCAAGTTCATTTGATTGCAGAGTTGTGGACGAATCATGTTCTTTACTGACAGTTGTGTCATCATCCGGAACCGCTGATAGTGGTTAGATAGAAAATACGTGTTAAAAGCATATTAAAAAAGTCTGTTATTCCACATGGATGAGACAAATATTGGGAAAAGCTCAACATTTTTGTTTATCTTTTTTTGGAAATAAAAATCTATAAATACACAGATAGAGGGATGTACAACTACCTGTCAAAATACCTAGTATTTCTGTAGGGTTAAGAAAGAAATTCCATTTTTTCTTTCCCCTTGTTATCTAGGCTCTCTCTCTTATTTTGTCAACGAATAACTAAAACGGCACTAAAGCAATTACTACAAACTGTAAAAAAAATTAGAAATTCAAAAACACCAATATAAGTTCCTCAGTAGTTACTTGCTCTTGAGTGGATTTTCTTTGATAACTGTGAAATTACCAACTTGTTTACATAACACTCACTACGTATTGGGTCCACATATTACATCATATTTAATAATTTTATGTTTTTACTTGTTAGCACATTCAGTGTATATAATTGATCAGAAAATTTGGGTGAAGACATTTTCTATGTAAAATACATAACAAACTCCAGCCATAATTAGTAGAATTAACTGCAATATTGATGTCCCTTTTTTTAATTTCGATTTTTATGCATGAGTCATAAGGACCCCAACTACAGATGCATATAGGGTTCAAATAACTCAATGAACCCAACTAGAGAATTCATTATGCCATATGATTTTATACAAATATGAGCTAAAATCAGTATAAAAAAAAGTACAGCAATTATAGTTTTATTCAGATCGCAAATATTGGGTCATTTCCCCCTTTAAAATGCATATTTAAAGTTTATATGACTATATGTTTCAATATCTTGAATGTTTGTAAAGTACATAGCAATTAGTTAAAATTTAAAAACTAGGCTCTTCCACATTTTATGATTAAAGAAATTTCTATATTTTGTAAATAATCAACATTTTTAGAACCCAAATTACTAAAGAATTGTTGCCTCCTATCATCTTTAAGGGATTCTAAATGTATAAAATGTCTTAGCAGATGGAGTTCTGCCCCAGACATCCTAATTGGAACAGGAGGGGACAACTCCTCCTGTGACTGTGGTGCTCAGCTTCTCCAAGTGTACTAAAGAAAAGTTTTGTCAAACCCCCTTAAATAAAACACTTGATCCACAATAGGACCTTTAGTAATAAAGATAGGGACTCAGAAGCAACTTGATGCATAAATAATTTAGAAAATGTGTTAAAATATCCAATATGGTATATATCCCATTGATAATTCTAGGGTTAATGACTGAGCAATTGTTTATTTTCTAAAAGTGAATCTCTGGTAAACAGAAACTCATAGTAAGCTAGTTACAGCAACCTGAGTCATTTGTGAATTTTACTTACTGGATTTCAAATAATTATTTTTGCTCAAGAGGAAACTTAAGGGCAAGAATTAAAGTTAAAACTTAATTAAAAATGTGTATTTTAGCCACAATGTTGTAAAGGTAAAACTTAGAAAAGAAGAAATAATATAGATAACACATCGAATACATAAAAATATATGTCTATGTAATTTATGCCTCTTCTGAAACTGTAGAAATGAACCTTGAATTTCTACTTACGAGCACTTCCAGTGCAAAATTTCATACAAAAGTGATATGATTTGAAGCGGTTTTTGTTCCCTTCACAACCACTATAAACAAAAGGCAAACACTGTTGACTTTTTGGGTCAAAAAACCAACGAGGTAAAGATTCATCACAGGTCCCAGGATCAACAGACAATGAACAGACATCTAATGCAAATAAAATTGAAACAAACACAGGCTCTTGTCAAGAACATGCAATGAAATACTAACACAAGACAATTTCAAGTGGCATACAAAAACAAATGTATTGTACTTTATATTCATTCATAACAATCCATGAGAAGTTAAACTATGGCTTGTAAAACGATTCACATTCAGGAATTCATGTAACTGTGTGAGATAAATATTTTGATAAAGATTTCAATGTTGCCTGACAGTCCTTCCCATTCAATACAAGAAAAATGTAAAAAAAATAATAGTAAAAAAATACTTCTGAGGAGAAAAGCTAAACAAAAACAATACATATAAGAAGAAACACAAATATAAACAACACAACGGATCTTCTCGTGCATAGATCTCGAAAAGCATTTTCAAAAACGAAAGAATGATGCTGAATTTTTTCTTGAAAAATAATCTTATTTACAATAAAAGAAGTAAAAATTGTCTAATATTTAGATGCAAACTAGAATTCAGTGTATCATTTACATAGACTATGTTGTCTCTGTTTTTCATTTTAAAACGTTCTTGAATAGGTAGTCTCTGTAGACAGATGTTCAAGGAAAAGCTATCTTCTCTTTCTGACAGATTTTAAAGATCAAAGTACCCAGTTTTAGGATATAACCATATATATGTTTAAACATACCATAAATAGTCTGGAATGCACAGTATCCTAATTTTATTCAAATGTTTTTCTTAAGAATTTAATTTCAAGTTATAATAGTTGACTAACCTAGTTGAACACTAAAACATAAACTGTTAGGTATCTGGGAATGTTCCGACAGTTCTAAACCTTTGATAATCTACCTTTACAACTTAGTCCTACAGTTATGATGTCACAAAGTGGAATTACTTTTAAAGCATATCTTTAAACTTGATAGATCATCTAATAATTTATCTTACAGTTGGTTCATAACCTCATTTTAATAGCAAGGTTTGGAGTTGCTGTTCATTACTTCTATAATCATCTTGTTCAGGGAGGAGTTTTAAATATTTTTTTACACGAAAAATAACAAAGGTTATATAATGTTTTAGATTTCTATAAAATTAACAAAAAAGCACCCCACTCTTTTGTATTAAAAACTAAAATATGTACATGATTTTTTATAAATAAGAAATTATATAATAACACATTACCTGCATTGGTAATTGCAGTAGGTTTTTCTGGGAAAGGTTTTTCTATAATATTGGAAAAATGATTTCAATATAATTCATACACTAGTTAAGTCACCTTTCTATAAAACAATAAAATTATTAATGAGTTTGACTTAATCTTCAAAGAGTAACAAAACTGCAGTCTGATTGTGAAAGAGTTAGTTTCAGTCATTATGTATTATTATTATATTTATTCTTTTTTAATGCAAGTGTTCTTCACCTGCACTGCCAGTGACACTGAAATACTGCAGTACTGACTTGCTGTATCAAGGTCATCAGGTGAACTGATCATAAATTCACTTTAAAGTTTACAAAATGCAGTTCAAAAAGCACTTCCTTATTTTTTTAAGCCTTACTATGTGAGAAATTTTACAAAAAGGAAACATAGTATTATAAAATTACAATGCAAAACAGACAGCTTACAAACTACTAAAATGAATCATTTGCTGCAATAATATCATTATATATACACAAAACAATAGCAAGAACAATAATAGTAATACAAGAAGAAGATGTGGTCTTTAAAAATAATTCACTTTTACGTTCAGATGTTTTTTCTTATAGAAAAGTTCACAATCTTTGCTGTGTAATGTCATTAAGTATAGATAAAATAATAAGAATTACAATAATAATAATAACAATACAGTAAAATATGTAGCCTTGTAACATAATTTATTTTTACCTTCTATTGGCTTTTTCACACAGCGAAGTTCACAATCACTTCGGTCTTTAAAGCGATTGTTATTTCCTTCACAACCTCCATATATGAATCGTTTGCAGATGTTGTTTCTAGCATCATAGTACCACTGTGGAATGAAGTCTCTGCAAGATCCCTTATCACGAGGCTGAGCACACACATCTTTGGGGACTAAAACAAAATGGCATGTTTTTAAAGTATATCATATTAATAAATGTGGAATTAAAAACTGGCCAGATTCTTAAACAAGCTTTTCTCAATCAACAAAGAAGAAAATAAGACCACTTGACAAATATTATTTCAATCAATATCAAGTCTTCCCAGCTTAGCAAAGAATACTACTAGTTCTCAGATAAAACAACAGTAGATAAGATCATTCATCTTCAAATTTGAATTAAACCACAGAAATATCTGATAATAATTTATGTGCAAAAGTTCAAATAAAAATGGGGGAAAAAAAGGTGACTACATTCATATTTAACAAACTAAGGACAAATATATTTATTTATTACTATGCATAGCTTATGATGCTTTTTTACAAAGAGAAGTTACTTTTAATTAACACTTGCAATTTCAAAGAAGTGAGAAAGAATATTTTTTGCAGGAAAAAAAAAGAAGATTCATCCAAGACAATCAAGCTAAATTTGATAATGAATTACATGCAAAAATTAAAGATTCTAATTCAGAACAGCAAAGATGAAAATACACAGCACAAAACGTATATCAATAAACATAGATTTAATTAAACAATTTAAACCAATGTAAAAGAAAAACAATGCTGGAAAAATTAGAAACTGAATTTGCTTATGAATAATGTATAATCAGTCTATAGGTAAGAATTGTTAAAAGTATTATCAACAACCTCTTTCAAAATTCTTACCATGTAACATAACTTGAATCACTTGGTTGACAATTATTATTTTTACTCTTCTTGACACAAATAACTGGCAAGGTTTACAATTATTCAAATTCTTTTTGCTAAAGTAATTATCAAAAGAAATAGCTATTAACATGAAGTGAAAAATGCTTACGATCCATTTTTATTGTGACAGCTTTGGTAGTCGTTTCTGGTTGCACAGGAAGTGTTGTGGGAAGAGTTGGTTGAGAAGTGTGTTGTTTACAACTGTCTTCACAGCTCTCTCGGCTGTTAAACCTATTGGAATTTCCTTCACATCCACCATATGTAAATTCAAAGCACTGATCAGACCTACTGTCATAATACCACTGTGAGAAAACTCCTTGACATGGTCCTTTTATTTTTGGAAGTAGGCAAATATCTATTAAGAATAAGTCAAAAGTAATTATATACAGATACTCTACCTTTTTTTTTTGAGAAAAAAATTACATGTGTTTCTGCTAATTTGAATCTGATGATACAACATTTGTTTATAACAAATTCTCAAAATTCATACTTACTCTGAGAGTTTCCACATTTACTTTCACATTCAGACCTAGTTCTATAATTATTTTCATTGCCTTGACAACCACCATATCGAAACTCCTTACACACTCCATCATTTTTATCATAGAAAAACCTGAGCTCCACCTCTGAGCATGGCCCTGAATCTTGATCCAAGAAGCAAAACTCTGTGGAAGAAAGAGAGAGAAAATTAACTAGCTTTGAAAAATAAGATTCCCATTAATATATCAGATTTTTAAAGTCTCAAATCCTCTGTGAGAAAAATCATGTTGATAGTTAATGATATGGACTTAGAGCATGGCAATTAACTCTATTAATCAATATAATAAATAACCTATGAGCATCAATTACATCAATTAATGTAATATAAAAAAATAACTGATTAATCAAAATTACAATTACATTTATTAACATCAGGAAAATAACCAACAAATTGAAATTAGTGTTTCTGATTAGTACTGTTTGCGATTATTTCAACTATCAAAGTAAACAAACTACTGCTAGTATGTATGATTTCTCTTTACCACTTTTGGTTGTAAAGCCTAATCAGGACTCTCTAAAATAATAAACTAATCAAAATTAGTGTTCCCGATTAGTATAATTTTAAATTATTCCAACTATCCAAGTCTCATGTGAGAATAATTGATTAGTGGAGTGTAAATGGTTAATGACTGCAATGATTAATTCATTATCAAACTTCATTAGTCACCCAGCTTTATATATTATTAGTGTCTAATTAGGTACCCCACACTTTAGGAAATGCTGGTATAACTTACACTTTACACAGAGCATTATATCTTGTTTGCATGCTACAGTACAGTTTATCAATATACATTTCTGGGATATTGTTCCAAATGTACTTTATATTATTTCCCACAATTCGGGCAAGTTGTTTGGTTGCTTTTTTACCTTCTGAATTTTTACATAAACCCAGCAGCCTAAATAATATTTATACTGGAACTTTGTATAGGTCAAGCAATGGTTATGACTGTTCTTTTGCCCTCTTTATTGTCAACATATTCTTGGGATTACTGTCTTGCTATAAGATGAATCACTGCCTAATAGGTTGTATTTCTAAGGGAATGACATGATGGACCAGAATCTGCATGTACTTATCAGCATTCAGGGTGCCATAAATTTTGTGAAGAGCACCAATACCACTGGCTGAGATGTAGCTCCAAAGCGGTAACAATCCCCCATTATGCTTCGATGCAGATGTTGCCAATCAACTATGATATCATTCTCCTTTCTGCCAAGAACAAACTGTAGTTGGTTGTTGCCAAACAATTCCAATTTGGCTTCATCTGTAAAGTGCTCATGTCTCTGGCTTTGTTCATTTCACTGTTTGTGGTCCAATGCCATTTCAACCTTTTAGTGTGGTTATCTCTTCCCAACAGCAGTTTTAAGCAGCTACAAGTCCATTATTGAAACTATCTTGTGCTAAAGTGTATCTTACTGTTCTCAAGGTAACATTCACACCTTTAGTTACAGAAAAGTTGTTGGCAACATTTGTACTCAACCGTTATCCATGTCGTAAAGAGTATAAATACTTTAAGATACTTAACATCAACTTTCATTATGAACTGTGCCAGTTTCACTCATAAAGAGTATAAATACTCTAAGATACTTAACATCAACTTTCATTATGAACTGTGCCAGTTTCACTCATAAAGAGTATAAATACTCTAAGATACTTAACATCAACTTTCATTATGAACTGTGCCAGTTTCACATATTCTATTCAGAATCTTGAATATTGCTCATACTGAAACATGGAATTTTACAAGTTTTCATTTGTAGTATCCTTGATCAGCCAAAGCTTTGATTTATACACATCTGCCATGCAGTATTTCAGGCCTGAAAACCATAACTTTATAGGCTTTATATGGGCATGGCACTTTCTGATTGGTTGAATGACAATGTGTGACTCTACTCTGGTGAAGTTTATTTTCACACACTAGTAATATTTGACTTTTATAATATTTTCTTTCCACTTCCATAACTATCTTTAATACTGTACATAATTATTATTTGAAAAGTAATTGTATTTGGCTGGATGTTTTGCTCAACAAAGGTAATAGTTAACATTTTAAAATACATTACTGTAAAATGTCCAGGTGCCTCAAATTTAATACACCTGTAATATTATTTCTTTTATTGCATTTAAAAATACACTGCCTTGGAAATTAAAATATATGTTTTAAAAAAAACAAAAATACTGACTTTTGTTTAATATTTCAATTACTGAAATTTATGTCTTACTACATCCTTGGAAAGCTCTCCAAAAACAATAAAAAAAGTTGTTTTATAAAAATGTAAATTCTGTTTATGTTTTGATTCAAAAAACACTGCACTATTTTTATTATCACTAATGCACAGTAAAAATAATTTCTTTACCATACCAAAACTATAAGCAAGCTGATGTTTTTACATATTAATTGGAAGGCTTTAGTTAAAATGACTTTTACACCTCTTTATGTTTTTTTACATTTCTTTTCAATGACTTTCTTTGCCCAGTTAACAGTTATTTAGGCCAATAAAATCTTGTTGGAAAAATGAAAGTTGATACAGACATGTGCAAAATGATCTAACTAAGCCTAGAAATTGTCCTGATCTTGTTCCAGGTAAAATATATATATTTTTTCTTATCATACTACAATATCATAATTAAATGAAGTATAAAATGGTAAAGCAAGTATTTCTTAAATGTCAAGAAAAAATCAGGACTGCAATTGTGGCTGATGTTATCAAACATCATTTCTTTTAGCAGCATATTACCAAGTTAAGCTTTCATCAGTCCTCTGCTCTGATTTCTAACCAATTATCCACTGAACTGAAAGCCAAGCTGGCTTACACATTTGATAAAAACTGTAAATGAGTTTAGATCATTAACCTATGACTTGTCAAAGCTAAGATATAGGCAGTTTGCATAACAGCATGCAGGGGCAGATCCAAGGTTTTCAAAAGGGTGGGGATCCAAATAAATGAATATTGGAAAGGTCCAAGAAGCTGAAATTTCTCTAATTCCAATTCCTGACCCTTTCCATTGCCAGTCACTAACACTGGTAAATTAGCAAGAAGAAATCCATATGATAATATATTCTTCTACTTTCTCCTTCATTTGCAGAGCTGACTGTTAGAATCAGGGTCTTGAAGTGATCACAAGAATCAAGTTATATCAAGCATTGTTCACTGATGGGCTAGAGAGAGAGGTGGATTTTTTTGATCATACTAATGAAAAGGATTCCTTCAAAGTCATGCGATGGGATTTAAATCAATTATAATAAAAACCTTTAAGGCTATCATCAACATTTTAGATATTACTGAGTGTCTAGATCCCTTTCCATACAGGAAAAAGAACATTATTGATCCTATAAAACAACTAAATATAATATTTATACCACTTTCCTCTCTATTTTTCTCTATTTCTATTTATAATGTTTTACTGTTTCCTTCAATTTTGGTTTCTGTATTGAAAAGGGAGGCTCCTCCCTGGATTCTGCCCCCTGTTGAGGCAATTAAAGTTGATAAACAGTGATTGATTAAAACTGATAAAACTATACTTTTATTGATGATACAAGTTCAAATTGGCACTGTTTTGTTAAAAACTATTTCAACTTTCCTCCTAGGAGGCTATCAATGTTGTATTATGCTCAGAAAAAAATCAGAAAATTCATAAACACTAATGTTTTTGTTTCGAGCATGCTGAATCAATTTAAAATTCAAAATCACAATTTTTAAAATTTTTATAAATGTAAAATTAAATATATATAAACTTTTTCATTTTCAATACATTTCAATTTTGGAGTTTTTAAAGATAGAGCATGGAAGCATCAATACAACTTTATTTTTTATAAATTTTATTAATTCAATGGTGCAATTTTTCCCTCAGAGTAGGGTGCATCCAGTTGAGCACCATTAAGTTAATGGATAAAACTAATGTAATGATTAAGATTTCTATAACACATATATTTTTTAATTGTTATATTTAAAACTGTGTATATAGCTCTAACAGGAGTGACATGTATAAGAGACTCAGCCCCCCCCCCCAATAAATCTTCCCTCAGGGGGGCATTATTTTCACCAACTCAAAATTATTATACAGTATTTCTGAATAGAGAAAGCGAGACAGAAAGATTGAAAGAGGGTATTTGTGAATCATTGTGAAGTTTATTCATTCAGAAGCACGAAATGATTCTTGACAGTTGTGTAACCCCATACACATGTGAGAGAATAACCAACTCAAGCAAAAGACTCACTTGTCACCTATGATTTTTACCTTGATATTACTATATGATTACAACTGTTTATAATAATTAACTAATATTCATTTCTCATTAAAGCAAACTACCTATAGATCAGAACTAAAAATATACACAGTAATGATCATAGCTGATTAGTTATACAGTTCAAACTATCTTTATAATGATTAGAATGCACTGTTTCATCAGTCAGGTACTTCTCACTGTCAACAATATATAATACATGTGTCTATAAAGAACACAGACCAAAGACCACATTACATGTAATAATTTCACTTTACACAACATAGTGATAATTAGAACCTTAAACGAATGAACAGAGCTAACTAACCAGTTCTGAATTTCTCAGGTGGAAGTTCTGTAACAGTTGGTTTTCCACACCTTTCTTGGCATTTCAATAAAGATTCAAAATTATTATTGTTTCCACCACAGCCACTGTAATAGAATCTACGGCATTCACCTTCTTCTGCATCATAGAACCACCGATCTTCAAATTCATAACAGTTACCAATCTCTTTGGGCAATATACATACATCTCTCCCTGGAAAAAATAAAAAAATTTCTTTTCTTGAAAAGAGGAACTTACCGATGAGCTACAAAGAACTATTTCAATTATTAATATTAAACAAATGCTCACAAAGTTCATTACTGTAAGGGTAATGAGGATTATTAGTTTCTTTCAGAGTTTTCTTGCAAAGCTACATATATGGCTCTGTGCATACAGCTATCCCTAATTTTAAAGTGACAGACCAGATGAATGGCAGCTTGTCAACAGTGCCCATCACCAATTTTTGTCTGAGGAAATAGTAGGATTTGATCACCACTGTTATAGAGCAACCATGGCTCACAAGTGCAGAGCAATAGGCCACAAACCACAAAATACAGTACAAGCACTAACCACAAACCACAACACACAGTACAACCACACTAACCACAAAACACAGACAAGCACACTAACTACAAAACCTCAGATTCACAGTACAAGCACACTAACCACAAAACACAGACAGGCACATTAACTACAAAACCTCAGATTCACAGTACAAACACACTAACCACAAAACACAGACAAGCACACTAACCACAAAAGACAGACAAGCACATTAACTACAAAACCTCAGATTCACAGTACAAACACACTAACCACAAAACACAGACAAGCACACTAACCACAAAAGTCAGACAAGCACATTAACTACAAAACCTCAGATTCACAGTACAAGCACACTAACCACAAAACACAGACAAGCACACTAACTACAAACCTTCTACCTCACTTGCCAGAGGAAATGAGAAGGAAGTATTTGCAATTTCAATAAAATAATTGTAAGCTCACTGTTATTTATTAAACTATGCATGGAAAATATTGTAAACCTTATCCAAATTAATAAGATTGCTGATTTTCTAGTTTGCTTTATAAAAATCTCAAGAACCAATAGTTGTTCTTAAAGTTTTGAACCACTTTTCAAATTAAGTGCAAATTTGCATACTCTATATCTCTGATACTGAAAATATTCTTTTTTATCTTAGAAATTATTATTTTTCAATTGTGATCAGGAAGTTGTTTTCCTTCTTTCTTACTTCATTTTGTTTTATTTTATTTCTTTTTCTTTGGGTACCCCTTTAGTGACTACCACATATCCCCAATAATACTCATACTACAGTTTAAAAAAACACTGCTGCAGTACTTTCAACTACAGCAGTTTGGAAATATTATTGATTTCTAAATAAGATAATAGTTTGAAAGGAAAATCAGAAATGACATTAAATGAAGGATAAATAATCACATACTTTTTAACTTAACATGCTGCTAAACAAACATAAACAAGTTTTGTAAACTATCTTCAGAATTAAAAGAAAGAAGGTTTTGGGACATCAGTGTATCATGTTTCTTGGATAAAACCACCTTGCCTGTAGTTTGTGCAGGCCAACTATGGGAGTGTTTCTTTCTTTTTTATTCTATATAAGCTAAAAATTTCCCTAAAAATGCATTTTACACTAATGCAAGACTTTTGAACTTGGTTTTCTATAATGTCTAAAGCAGATGTTTGTTTAAACAGGACTATTAGTTCTCTTTATGAAGATTACCTAATTTGTCAGCTCAAAATTGATGAACAAATTCTATTTGGAATCAATCAAAAATCAAAACCAAACATTTGTTGCAACATAAAAATATAACCTGCTCCATATCTTTATGAACTGAAATTATGAAATGTTGAACTTAAATGAATCTTTAAATTCAACATTGAATGTAGATACAAACATATTGTTGCGTCAGCAAGGTCACGTGAATAGTATCACGCCACATCCTTCTCGAACCTTCGTGAATTGTCGAGAGACTACTAGATTGGGGGTAGTCTGGTATATATATAAGATGATCACAACGTGACGGAACAATGTGTGTAATTGAATTGAGTATTGTTGAGTCGTGAGATGTTCGTTGAGAATTATAGCGTTTGTTATAGCGCGACTCTTGAAATTAAGTGTATCGCAAAGTTATATTCGGAAAGAATAAACCAGTTTTATTTAAGAAAGAACTTGTATCGGTAAAGTTTCTTCGGTAAGAATTTACGGAAAATTAACTAACAAACGGAGACATAACAAATTGTTGTCAGAGAGTGGGACCAAAAAATGGAAACGAGAAGTGGCAAATCAAACTACAGCCTAGCAGACTTGATGGCAACAATACAAGAGCAGCAAAAGAAACAAGAAGAACGAGAAAATAAACAAAAAGAGAGACAATAGCAGTTGCAAGAAAACCTGCAACAGTGGCAGCTCGAACAGCAAAATAAACAAGAAGAGAGATTATAGCAGTTGTTGGAGGAAAAAGAAAAGAAACAAGAAGAGAGACAAC